TTTTTTTCTCAGAATTCTGACTTTTTTCTCAGAATTCAGGAAAAGAAGAAAAAAAAAGACGTGCCCACTTTTTTTCCCCCCAGTGGCACTAATCCTCTTCCGTAATGCAGCCCTGTGAAACACAGAGTAGTCTATATTTCAGTAGATCCACCTTTGGCACCAATAACTCAAAGTAATCTTTTTCTGTTTGACTTTATCAGTCTCTTCCATTATTGAGGAGGAATTTTGGCCCACTCTTCTTCTTAATAACACTGCTTCAGTTCATTTACATTTGTAACCATTCATTTATGGGCAGAGTTGTTCAGGTCTCACAGCAGCATTTCAATCAGGTTGAGGTCTGGACTTTGACTGTGTCATTGCAACATTTTGATTCTTTTCTTTTTTTAGCCATTCTGCTGTAGATTTGCTGCTGTGCTTGGGATCATTATCCAGTTGTATGACCAAGTTGGGGCCAAGATTTTGCTGTAGGACAGATGGCCTCACATTTAGAGTACTGGCATACGGCATAAGGTGCCCACGACCTGTGGCAAACAGCAAGCCCAAATGATCTTGACAACTGTGTTTGGCAGCTGATATGTTGCATTTGTTGCATTTTGTTCTCACCACGCATGGTGCTGTGCATTATGGTCAAGACATATATGTTGGGTTTTAGATATATAGAAGACCACAACAGAACAGTCACTGCTGTATTTAAGTATAAACATGGTAAAGTCACGAGACAAAACAATAGGCTTTTGTTGTGTTTACTGTAAATTCAGTGATCCCATGCTTTATGGTTGTTCATGAACAAACATAATGACTGTAGTTTCACTCACCGTGAGAGGCTCAACCTTTTGAAGAGCTCTCCATGTTTACATTTCTAAGTCTGATTTATTTTTGCTTGTTTGCGATTGCTTTTCATGTAATGGCCAACACTAATCATAAATTGTATCACAAAGTGTATTTCAATTTGAAAATAGCATTCACACAACATTTTCTCCCCTGAATTTACCTCACTGGAAATAATTGCTGTCAAAGGCCAGTGTTGCAACAGGAAGTGTTTACATCAGGGGGTTTTAGGCTAGGGGATTGAGGCTACGTTAAGGGACGTGGTATCATTGAGCAAATACTGACTCACCAGATAACATGGTGCAAGGTATCAGTAATGTTAGGTATTTTTTCTTTTTAATTTAAAATCTAGATTTAGATCTTCTTCTTTTTTAAATTGATGAAAGGTATTCATAAATTTGAAGAGCTCAGTACCCGATTATATTGTGAAGCAGCACGCAGTGTCCTCTCAAGTTTCTTTCCTAGCTTCAGTGGCATTGTATCAATGACACTCTTTAATTGTACACTATGAATAGCCACAGCAGTGATCTTCTGGCAGAGAGGACACTGTGAACACAATTGAGCTGCTCTACCCTGGTCACAGCGGAAACTACTAACAACACACCATTGTCTGTCTAAGTTCTCACTGAAGTATAGAAGAGTATTTATTTCTGTTAAAAAGTCTGAGGCAAATTTTAAAGAGCTATTAATTACAGGCTTGCTAATGATAAAATGACAAATACTCTGACATTCTCTTCTGACTGTAACTGTGAATACAGCGTCCCCCACACTGATGCTACTGTTAAACTGTATAATTATAGTAGCCTCATAATAGCTGTTTTGGAAAGCGCTTTCTCTGTTATTTGAAGCATTTTGTTGTGAGTGATCTGGCATCTCGTTTAATCATACTCATGTTTATATTCATCATCAAGGCCACAGTGTCATTGTGTGGGGATGTCAGCAGTAGCACTAAAAATCGAGGGATCTGGAATATAAAAGACAAGAGCAAATACGGTTATTAAAAAAAAGTACTCTGACTGTGGACTTTGCCTTAGTGATCCTGACTTGTTTGCTTTGCTCCATTCTGAAGTTCTGGAAAGCAGAACATGCATCGTCATATTTCATCCTCACATTTGATTATTTGCAATTCAGTGTATGGACTACAGAAACTTCTGAAAAAGAACGAATGAGGTCAGATCATGTTGTCAAGTGTGTTGAACGTCACTCGCTTGACTCTGAGTCATTCCTGTGCTGTACAGATGTATTCTGGATAGAAAAATTTGACAACGTCATGAACACAACATTTTGTTCCAATTTCTAAAAAAGAAAATTGGGCAAAAACAAATGACTTGTTTGTGGCCTGTAAAGTTTAGCTTTCAGTGACGTGGCACAGACAAAGGCAGCCCCACAGCACATTTCTAGGCCCTCTCTGAAAAGAAGGATTGGATATAAGGGTTTCTTCAGGTCCACCCTTTTCAAGTTTAACAAACTTGCAGAGATGTATATAAGGATATTTTTCACATGGACTAATCAAAAGTCTATGAACTTTTAGAGAAAGCTTGTGTTTCCACAAGCATTAAAAAGTAGCTGATTGTCTACAACAGGCTGGCTGAAACCACATGTCTTGAAGGCCATTAAGCATGTTAAGTGTACATTGTCTTTATGAAATGGTTTATCCAAAACAAATAAGGCCTCTTGTCTGACATGTTATCTGACTCATGTTTTTTCCACCTCTGCCCTAGATATTCAAGTCACTCATAAGAACTGCTTTAATCGAACGCATACACCAAACAGAGCTTGAATTATGGAGCCTTCTCAATCAGAGATGAACATATTATCAAACGGGAAAAGTCATGACCTCGGCGAGGATGTGGGTGTGCCATTGAAAACAATGCTAGATGAGGATCAGTGAGTATTCTTTCCTTATGAATGGCTGCCTTTGTTTAATACGGCTTGAAGCAAGTATTTTTTACGCTTTCCTTTTAGTCTTTCTCTAGTTATACTTGTGTGAAAGCCACAATCTCATAAATCCAATTAAACAATATTATTTTAAATTCAAATGTCACTGCTAAAGCTAAAAGCAGATGTTTGATTTGTTTTTGCTTACTGTTGTCACTATGATAATCCTCCATTAATAGTGAAAATGATGAACAAGATAACAGATGTGGTGAACCACATAAAATATAACTTCATAAATAATATTCACTTTTTTAAATGCATGTTTACCTTGTTTTTGTGCTCGCCTCAACTGGTGGATCCTTATACAGAAATGGCACTCAAACAGTCAGGTATGTTTGCAGAGATTTACGTCAAGGGTTTTCAGCTACATATTTGCCCATTACGTCACCTTCAAAGCACATGATTTGCTAGAGTCTGCAGACGATGTTTGCTCACTTTCTCAGTGGCGGACGGAAATGTCATCAATTAACACCTGCAAATCTGGCCTCTAGATATGAAGAGCCTGATGATGGACTGGAGAACGAGGAATTTTTGCCCAACGAAGGCGGAAAGAAACCCATACGTTTCACAGATGTAAGTGAGAAACCCAACAATTATAGCTATATAACATAGGTAACAACATTAGGTTTTATCTTAAATTGGCATTTAATGTATACTCTGTTTTTTATTTATTTATTTATATTGCATTTACAGTTTGAAGGAAAGACGTCTTTTGGCATGTCGGTCTTCAACTTGGGCAATGCTATTATGGGTAGTGGAATCCTGGGTTTAGCTTATGCCATGGCCAACACTGGGATACTCCTTTTTTGGTGAGTAAAAGAGTTTTAAAACAAAAAATAAAACAAGTTATGTGACATTTTTACAGCAAATCAAACTTACAGAGATGTCTGAATATTGTCTTAAACATTTCTTTTGGAGGAGGATACTTGTTCACCTTTTATCATTAATTAGATTGATACAACCCTTATTTCAAGCTTTGTACAATAGCTTTTACTGTATGGGGACAGTCTATTTTTGCACTGTCAAAAGAAAAGACTATATCTATCAGCATATAGAAAGTTCTGTAGCAGGTAGTTTCAGTTCCTCCCTTATGGATGGATCTACATATTTTACACTGGATGGCTTTTCTGGCACAATTCTCCCATTAATACTCCCAAATGGGAGCAGACTGGCTTGTGACCTCTTGAGGCTGGTTTTGTAACCCCTACTGGTCTCAACACAGGGATCTTTTGTATATTAAGGAAATGTGTTAACCAGTACACTATGGAGCTAGCATATGGAAAACTATTTTGAGACTAATTCTTAGAACTATGTTCTCATGGCAGTGCCAAGAAACCAGTGAAGACCTCAGGAAATATCTTCACCTAGGATAAGGAATTTTCACATGGATGTAGGGAATCACAGAGATCTTGGTATAAGGAGTCATCCTAAGCGATGCTGTCAGGCCCCACATTTATATTGAACAAACAAATGTATGACAGCTTCCCACCTGTCAGCAAAAAAACCAATTAGTCTTTTTCCAACAATTTTCTGACCTCAAGATTTGCTATTCTACTGATATGCAGTGATTAAACTGAAAGGAGGTAAACTAAGTTGTACTTCTCAAAGTAATCTGCTTTTTCAGTGCATTTATAAATAGTACTGATTTATTATATGTCTTAATGTCTTGCAACACATTATATGCCAAGATTGGTTCACTTTTATTTATTGCCTCTCTTAGGCCCCAAGCCTCCTTGCCACATAGGCCATAGAAAGGCCACAGCTCAGAATAACTGAACCTCCAGACCAGACCCCATAGAGGCATCCATACAGACAGCTGCTGTCAGACCATGACCCAGGTTTTCCTAGTCATATAGTTTATGTTTAAGTAGCTGCAAAGAAGTGAGACTGGAGCAGAAAATGGCCTCAGCGTCTGGGGAAAGCAGGAAGTCAGTTTAGTTTATACAGAGTAGCTCTTGTACTGAAGGAACCTATAGCCTTATGGAATCTTCCTATTAGTACTTGCATTAGAACTGTATAGTGTATGACTAGCACAAATATAGTTAGACTGTAATATTACATCAAGCCAAATTTAACACATACAGAAAAATAAGTAATAAATAAGTACAGCAAAATAAGTATGTTTATAGATGTCTGTATTATAACCACTAATGCCAGAACAGGTGTTTCAGCCACTGAAACAGCTATCCAGACTGAAAAAAATACTACTGAAAATACATGATACTGCAAGGTTTATAGATCTGGCTGGAATAAGTATTTTAAACAGTTGCAATTAAAGTTGACATATAAAGGCTAATTTACATCATGAAAAGCTGACAGATGTAACACTGCCTGTGTAGCTGGATTTAAGAAATGAGTGTTTAATCCTTCGGGATTGTATTCTGATTTTGAAAGTTCAAGTTTTTAAAACATGTTTATTGCCATCTTGTGCCAGTAGAGAATGTGACATCATGTGGTAGGTTTTTTTGCGGTCAATAGACTTACATTAGTTTATGTTAGCTAACAAAACTAATAACTCAGGAGAAAATAAGGACATCCATCTATCCAGTCGCTTCCGCTTATCCTTTTCAGGGTCGCGGGGGGTGCTGGAGCCTAAAATAAGAACAGTAAAATAAAATAAAATATAAAAAACATCAGTTTTTCACTTTTGTCCTGCCCTTGGCTGCGTCAATGAGTTTTATGTTAAAACTGAGGATATGCTGTCCAGCTGTCACTCTCTGTCTCTGAAGCAGTAAGTGGTTCTTCATTGTTTGGTTAGCTGCACTCAAACTGTAAAATCCACCTGTTAGCCATAATGTTTGAATTTGTAAAGCACTTTATGAATGAGATTAGTATGGAGAGCGGGTTTGAGACAGGTGACTGGTGGTTTACCAAAATAAAAAACCTGGAGTCAGAAACGGATTTTTTCTTGTGTGGTCATATGTACTGTGCGGCACAATCAGCTGATGCAGTCAGTGCTAATTTATGACCACAAAATATCATGAATCAAAAAAACAAATTTAATAGTGGTATAGAAAATAACGAGTGTGTGACTTTTGTTTTTTGTCACAGGTTTCTTCTGACTGCAGTAGCAGCTCTGTCATGCTACTCTATTCATCTGCTGCTCAAATCCTCAGGCATTGTGGGTAAGCATTGTGTCATTTCTCAGTGTTTTGAAAAGAAATGGTACAATTACATGTTGTAAAGTTCTCACATCAAAAATCCCTTGGAGATTGCTATTGTGGTTGCCATTAGAAAAGGACAGCTGATAAAGTTGAAAAAATCAAAAACCGCTTAATGTCAAAGAGTGCTTGACTGGAAAAAAAAGTTATGTGAAAAAAACTTGATCAACAAATAAAGTATTCATAATTTAAATGTATTTTTAAAAGTCAATTTTGTATAGAAGGATTTGATTTTCAGTCATCGCGACTTGTATAATGCCCTGTCTCATTAAATAAAGACATTTTGTTTTGTTTTTTTATTCCGTAATTTGAGGTTTTGCTGAGTTAAAATTGTCTAGGCAAATTTTAAAACTAGAAAAAAAAAGTCATGTCAGCATACTCTTTATTTATCTAAGTTGTGCAGCCATTTGTCAACCCCTCTGAAAGCGTCTCGTTGTGTTCCTTGGACAGAGATCTTAGCAAGTATAACTGAATTTGTGATTGTTTGTAATCTGCTTACAGGAATCCGAGCTTATGAACAGCTGGGGTACAGGGCCTTTGGCAATCTTGGAAAAATAGCTGCTGGCACAGCAATCACCCTGCAAAATATTGGAGGTGAGGAGATAGTGTAGGTTTGGAACATGTTCGCTCATGTGTTCTTCCACTGGCCTGTAGCTATAAACTGAATTCACTTCAATTCAATTCTGTTATATGCTTATTGCACCAAATCACTTCAAGGTGCCTTATACTGTAAGGTAAAGACCCTATAACTATAGTCAAATAAGCCATTAGTATTACTTTGGCTTTTGGTCCTATTTATAAGTTTGGGATATGATAGAGTATTAACACTGAAGTAGCTGCTTATAAGTAGCTGTAGTCCTTGTGATTTTGACATTAAAAAGATTTGCTCTTCTTACTGACCAGAGAGTTGTTGAGCCAAACTAGGTCATACCTTCTTCTTAAGCATGAACTACTCAACCCAGCTTCTTAAGAAAAAAGCCACAGTTTACCCTGTTGATTTCCGAATTATTAAAATCACTAAAGAAAGCTACCTTTTTGCTGCTCCCTTGTCATAAGGGGTAGTGTGTGTAAATCACAACACCGTTTTTGAAAAGAAAATAATCATAATCAGTCATCAGTATGAGTTATATATTTTATAAATTCTAACACAGATTTCAACCATTTCTAAGCAAAGAAGCAGCCACAATTAATGTAGTCACTTGAGTTAGGCCCAGGATATAGCTCCCCAGGCTGGTTTAGATTGTACCTTTTAAAGAGAACATATTCAGAAATCAGTAAGTTTTTCTGATCTCTGGCATTCCACAAGGCTCCATCATTGGTCCTTTGTTGTTAGAAAAACATGTCTGCAGTTACTTGAAAATGGAGCTGCTTGATTACTAACAGACTCAAAAAGATAAAGCTGCTTTCCTTTCTTCACTAACGATTAGCTTTGGTACTGATTGTAAGATTACATTTGATGATTACATTTAAAGCATTTCATGGCCTACAACAACAAAAACATTTCATCAAGTGAAACTGAAGCAGTCAGTCATGAGTGTCATCGGGCAACAGTGGCTTTTCCTAAGACCAGAGTCAAGACAGATGGAAATTATCTGTGAAAGTCACCATAGATTATCACAGTCATTGATGTTTTTTTGTTTTGTTTTTTTCACTCTTTCTTTAAACTTGACTTTAAAAATGTTCTTAAATGCATTTTCCAGCTCTATCTTGTACTTAATTATTTATTGTAGGAGAGCTTGATTATATGTTTTAGTGTGATGTGATGTAATGTGATTTTAATGTGCCTCGCAAAGCTTCTTAAGCTCTAAATTAGTCCATAATTGAGATAACCCCATACTGATTTCATAACTAGTTTGCTGCTACTACGTGGTAAGATCTGGTACGATCTGTATCCAGATAACTGAAAAGGGGAAAATATGTTAATGCAAGCCGTAAACGCACAAGCATGTCACTGTGATCAGTCATACCACTCACTACCACTAACTTCACCTGCTCCTTCTAACCAAAACATTCCGACAGAAGTTGCAGATATTACTCATAGGTATAACAATTACACTGTAAAGAAGCTACAAAGCATAATTGTCATTGGAAAACTGACCTTATTTTTCAACAAATACACACTTTTGCTTGAAAGGTAACAGAGTCTATCGTCCCAGCTCAGCTAAGTTATAATCTCTAAGCAATAAAGTTTTGGTGCGAACGATAAATACTGAAAGTAGTAAAAGTTAGTAAAACATCCAATTTCCCAAAAGTACAAAGGACGTGACCACAGTGTCCGCAGTAGTAGCGACGGCTGTGTCACCTATGTAAACATGATGTGGTAAGTGTACTTGTGTCATGGTTTTTCTGATGTTTGTTTGGTTAGCGTGTGTACTTGCACTGTGGTTTACTTCACCACATGTTACATTTCCCCTGTCTTGTCTTGTTACAGCTATGTCCAGCTACCTTTACATTGTTAAATCCGAGTTACCGCTGGTCATCCAAGCTTTCCTGAAGGTTGAGCCCAACAGCGAGTGAGTCTTGTCATTTATGTCCTTTTCAGTATTTACACCACCGGGCTGACATGAGCACATGAGTCTTGCCTGTTGTTGACCCAGAGCTGAGACACTGTGTGCAGGGTCATGGGGCCTAGCCCAGTTTGCAGCATTTACTGAGTCAGTTGGTTTGGGGGTGTAATGAGAATGGGAGCCTGGAATTGGCTGAACAACAGGAAGGATATGATTGGGCATCTGATACTAAAGCACACAACATCAATCCTCACTACTGTCAGCTTGTAGAGGCAAGCACTGTCCACGTCAGAGTTGTGCCAGAGACACGGTCTGCATAAGGCCACGGAGGACTGAAGTAGATTCCAGCTGTCTGTTTAAATCTAAAAATGGATTGCAGCTATAATACTTATGTGCTGCAGCCTAGACGGTCTGAGGGCAGATATTCAATAACTCAAGATACTCAACAGAATACTTTATTCAGTTCAATTTAGTTTTATTTATATAATGCCAACTAGCAGGATTACACATGTCAGGGCATAATGTGCAGACCTTCTGAGTTAAATGGGCTTGACACAAGATTTTCATCTAAGCATGGGACTTGTTCCAATTGTTGCTCGTTTGTGTATTTTAGTGGAATTTTTCCCTTGCTTGGATAGACTCCAGCCGCCCCATGACCTTGTATTCAATAAGCAGAAGGGAATGAATGATGCATGGACTCATAATTACATAATTGTTCAAGTCGTAGGTGCTTCAAATATTTAAAGTCATAAAAAAAGACCTTCAGCTGTAAGGGGTCTTGCAAACATAGTGTGGCAATCCAGAATCCTGACCTCAACATTATTAAGTTTTAAGATTAAGATTAAAACCAACTGAGACAACCTAAACCAGGGGTAGGCAACCTTTCTGATGGCGAGTGCCATTTAAAATTTCCTCAGAAGTCAGTGTGCCACATCATTGCATTAGATTAATAACGCTCTATATTAACAGTAACACAATATATAGAACCACTTTATAGAATTATATTTGTTTGCATATGTTGGCAGCTATCAGTGAATAGTTATCAGCTATTTTGAAACAAAAAAAGACACTTTTTATCCATAACAAGAACTCCATAACAGCAAATGAACTGTACAACAGAAAATACAAATGCTATTTATGGTCTCCTCACAACAATGATAAGAAAAATAAACTAAGCCAATATGGCATGTTTGTTAATACAGAGACACACATGTTATGTGATCTCTGGTCTCCCACTCAGAGACACAGGTCTCCAAGTGTCCAGCATTCAGACGGCTACCTGAGGACACTCATGTGAGAGAAAATCTGCTCACACAGATATGTAGAGCCAAATACTGTCAATAAGGCCTCTGCAATGTTCTGAAGACAGTTAAACTTGTCAGGTAGTGATGTCCAGCAGGTAAAAATGCAAGCTCCATGAACACGCACAGCTGTGGATTCCAGCTGCTTCGATGTTGCATTAACTGGCATTAACTCAGCCAGTTAATGCGAGACAAATCCAGCTGCTCATTAAAGATTTCTGGTTTGATCAGAAAATAAAACATTGGTCCATACACCTGAAAGTCCCAAAAACGCATTGTGAATTCTGTCTCGACTCTACGGATGTATCCGTGTATTTCCGTGGTGCTGATGCTGAGCGGAAAGCTCCTGAAGCTTTTGAAGTGTAGGAATGTGGAAAGGTAACAACGTCCCTCTCACCGGTAGGCTAAGTTATTTTTAGCCAATTACAAGTTGAATCTGGTAGTTGGGGTTGTTAGCTAAAATACCGTCATTAAGAAGCGGCACAACTAATGTGTCTATGCGAGCTGCCATTTACCATCTGAAAAGGTCTATTTATTTTTTAATGCACCTTTTCAGATTAATCCACTACTGGGACAAAAAAACAGCCCGGGCATTTTGACTAGAGACCAGGTATTAAAGCTATAAAGCCTTTGAATGAAAACAAACGCTGTTGTGACAGTGATGCACACTGTCTTGTTGGTATATGTATGATTTCTATACATTTTACATCAGATAAAAACTTTGGTTGTAAGATTCAGATAATTATTTAATAAAAGCTAGATATTTTAAATGAGAATAAGAAAGTATTTCTTTGTGCCCCCCTTTCCCTGTTAATGCCCTATCTGGCCCCCCTGGCAAAACTTTGCCAGATCCGCCCCTGCACAGTTACCAGCTGTCAGCTACTTTTAAAAAAAGGATCCTGGTGTTATTTGTCTCTCAGAAACAGTTCATAACTTCCCTTCAACTCATTCATGTCACCTAAAAGGTAAACCTGTTTCTCCATCACTTGTTCAGCTCTGATGATTCAGTAAGGACATCTCCTGGTTTCATCTTCACCACATATCCAAACCAATATCATGACCAGCAGCTTTTACAGCTGTGGCTCCAGCAAACATCAGCTGATACTAGGAATTAATATTAAATAAATTCTAACAACAGCTGATCAAGCTTAAACGTGCTGCTGTTGTTTAGTGCGACATCCGCTGGTTTCCTCTTTCTGGCGCAAAGTGGGCGATAAACAAACAAGAGAGAAAAGCCGATCAGCTGATCATTAATCAGTTTCATGATTGAAGTAGCAACAGGAGGGGGAGGGGAGAGAATGAGAGAAGAAGAGGCAACTCCAGCTTTGTGTCTTTTTCCATTCTAGCTGAAGTACAGGACAAACTGTGTCCCTTCTCAGCTCAACACCAAACGCGTAATATTTTCTCTGAATGCGGGAGAGAAACGGGACGATTCCGTCTTTTTTAGATGCCCGATGGCCAGTCCAGCTATCGTCGTGCCATCAGTTAACACCTCTAACTGATGTTAACCCCGTGCCTAGGGTTGCCGACCCATGACCTAAACCCACATAACAACTGCAGTTCTCTCGTAGTTCTCAACCTACTTGCCACCTACGTTAAACGCTTATAGCCAAATGAAATAGATGTATTGAGCTCTGTAACTGCTCTACATGCCTTGCACACACACACACACACACACACACAAATGACAGCAGCAGGTGGTGTAAAATGGGGTGCCAAATTCTGAGGCTGAGGATAGGTCAGCTCAGGGCCAGCCCTATAGCAACGGAGGCACACTGTGTTCATGTCCACTCGATGAAAATTGTCGTCCAAATTCATGGCGTCACAGCAACTAAGAGGAATGAGGGGTGTGTAGTGGGTCTGCAGCTTTATTTATGACTAGTGGCTCTTGAATTAGAAAGCTATCGTGTGGTGGAGAGACAGCCAAGTGCCTTTCACTCTGCCTGAGTTTAAGTAGTTTGTGCCAGTGCTGAAGTAGATCTGAATTGGTTGGTGTTGTTTTATGTAGGGTATGTGAAGGGGTTTTTTTTGGCAAAATATAAAGGGTCCAGTGATGTACAGCATGTTCAAATACAGAGAGGCTGAGACATTTGGAAACATGTCTGCCATTCAGTTCTAGAAAAAAAATCTGTTAATCCAACCTAGGGTTGTCACTCTATGAGAACAGTGAAAGTTAAATCAAAAACTAATTTTGAGGGAGAGAAAACCAAAACTGTTTGTATTGTCACTGCTAATGCAACTTTGGAAGCTAAATGTTAAAATACTGCTAGTCAGACTAACACAGTTTACTTCCAAAGACTTCATTTGACTGAACTTGGATTTCAACTCTAGACTTGACTGGACAGAACTCGTCCCAAGTGCAAGTGCACCTGCATGTGAAAGCTGCTCTCATTTGACCTACCGCCTAAAAGGCCAAAGAAGGCATGACCTATGATTTGTGCAACTTCCCCTGCTTTTAAGTGACTCGCCCAAATTCGCATGCACTACACTGGTAGTGTCATAGATCACACTGTGTTCCAGCATGTAGGACTGTGGCAGACAGCCGATCCTACTCTTTGTGTTTCTTGCAGGGTTAAGAATAACAGGCTTAGCAGTGAGAAACAGGCTTTAGGGGACAAAGACTTTCCTATGCACAGGATTTAAGAGGCAGTTGACTTTAAACTGCATGTTTGTGTGGTGTGGCTCTACAGCTCCTGATGTTTTAAGTTTAGACAGGTAAAATGACTATAAACATGCTGTTTCACCACATTCATTTATTTATATTCACTTAGCAGATGGCAGGTAGATAAAGCGCTAAAGTTCACAGAATAACTCGCTGTATGGATAAGTATAAAAAAGGCACTGTAAAGTGCCTAGATAGATTAGTCCCACTGGAAAAAAGTCATATAGATGCCACTGCATTCCGTTTAGTATAACTGATGATTTGAGTAGTGATTAAAGACAAATAAATGTTTTTAAAACTTAAATATATTATGTCCATCCTTTATTACACAGCTGGATCACAGTGTCAAATCAATAAAAGCTATATCATAAAAGAAGTCAGACTCTCTGCAGCATCTGTAACTGCACCCTAACACCTGACAACTGAGTGTCAGCATTTATACAGCGGTTAACAAAGTTATTAGACCACCTGTCATAAAACAATAAAACACAAATATTTCAGTAATGTGTGAAAAACGTATTTAAAACTCAAATTTATAGCTGTTCTTTGGGCAAATAACAAAAGGAAATAATGTTTTTATACCCAAATTTGAGCAGGTGCAGTTGATTGGTAGGTAAACAACTGTAATTCGGTATCTTGATAAAATATAAGAATGTCTTTTACTATTTTTTCTGCTTTTTCTGAAAAACAGTAAATTTGAAAATTTGATGATAACAACAGTAAATTTATTTTACAATTAAACTAAAAAAAAACCCCATAAATAATGATTTTGGTAATTACTAGTACTGTTATTTAGGGCAATTGGAGAATAAACCTTCGCAGGTTTGCACCCTCTGAACCTGCGCAGGATGTGTCAAAAACAACAACAGGTTATGACACAGTGTAGGTTATGGCGTGGGTTACAAGATAGTTTACAGTGCAGGGTTTCAGCAGGGTTTGCAGATATGACAGATACCACGGTGTAGATTTAACACAGAAGTACGAAGCCACTGTAACACTAACATTTGTCTACATGTCCTTAGAATAAACATATACATGTAATCTCAGCTATTGAGGTTGCACAACAGAGATATTTTCTTAATTGAATGAATTTCACAAGATATTTGTTCAGAGTGAGGACATGTCTGGGGACCTGATGATGACAAACTAGCAGAGCTGTAGAAGGAGACTGTAAATGTGAACACTTAATACTTGTCTGATGTCTTTTTTTCTGTTTGAAAGAGAGGATAAAGTGTCTGACAGGGACTTTAAGCTGATACTGGTAACATTTGCTGACTTCTTCAGTCCTAAGATGTTTAGGCACCATAGTGTTTTGCTCTACTGCAACTGTGACCAGTCATATAAATAATCTGAGTTATGCAACACACTATTCTAGTACTTCTGTCGAGAGTAACATAAGCAGACACATTTTTTCCACAATCTTGTGGCCAAGGGTGTTCCCAACAGGTTACTGTTGGCCTGACAAAATGGGGTACATCAACCATTTGGACCAACAGATTTTTAACAGCCCTGTGTCACAGATTTAGCTGCACTGACATTTTTAAAAGTACAAAAACAGCACTAACTCTATGCTACATGTACAGAATGAAGAAACATATTACCACCACACACTCTTACCAAAAGCTTACCAAAATAAACTAGATTTTTCTCCAAACAGTCTGTGGTACTTGAACGGAAACTACCTGGTCATCATGGTCTCTGCCAGTATCATCCTGCCCCTTGCTTTAATGAAACAGCTTGGTGAGTATAATGTAAATATATCTTTGTTATGGGAGTACTGTTTTCCACTTCCATTTACCAAAGAAAGCTGTTAGTGTGTTGGAACATGCTATAATAATACCTTTTTACAGATATTAGAAAACTGTCACAGCTACAAATTGCTTCACAGTTTGAATAAAAGCCATATGTTAAAGATAAATATGCACGTTCGAATGTACAGACACATAAAAAGGCACATAATCGTCAGAAGCTCATTCAGACATATAAGCAAATAGTTGTAAACTATGGCCAAAAATAAAGGGATGAGGATTAAGGGAAAGCTAACCTATAAAAATGAGTTTTCAGCAGTCATTCAAAACAGTTATCAGAATCAGCTAACATGTGATCTAATGCATACATCAGACAGTGATGATGTTTTTTTCTCCCTACAGTTGCCCTGCTGTTAAAAAAGAAGACAAAAACAAAAACATCCTCTTTTGAATCAGACCACTAAGGCAACTTTAACCTTATTGTTGACACAATACTAAAGCGAGTGGGCAATTGCATATAGGTGAATGTATAGGTGTTTTCTGCACACACAGTGACCAGAGATAAAAGATAAGCTTGAAGCAGATAAAAAAGCCAAATTTACTGATCTATGAGTCTAGCCAGACTTCCAGGACCATGTACACAACACCAGCGGGTTTAACTTTCCAATATAAATAATAAATTATTTGAATTCCCTAAGAGTAAAAAAAAAGTAATAATATAATATGTAATATAATATACTAATAATCAATAGCTAGTGAAATAATATAAAATATGTATGTTGTCTTCACTTAAATTTACAGTTTGACTTACATTTTTTTTATTTTTAACTTAATTAAATGGATCTCCATGGCAGCTGGGCAAGGTCCCTGCATAACAAGTATTATGTGTTTACAGTCTGTATTAACAGTTAATGTCCTTTTATTCAGCTACTCGTTGTAACATAGCTTCTTTAAAGTAGTTTTGCTCCTTTTCATTATACTCCAGAGTGGTGGGTTTGAGTTTTGGGTTGTTTTCTTGCAGTGCATTTATCTAACTCGTGCATTTGCCAGTTTGTGTTCAAGAAATATTTTCTATACTTAAAAGTTATCAATTAAGATTATTTTAAATTAATCCAGCTTATCTAATAATTTTGAAGGCAAAGGTATGTACATTGCAGTCAAGCAATTAGTGCGTTCTTGTCCTACCCCTCACAGTGAAAACAGCGGGCTGTTCAGTTAAAAATAATTTCTCCTGACATAATCGCACTCTCAATTCCGGCATATTCTGCTCGTTAATACACAGTATAAACATGCCGTCTTTGCCCTCACAGTGCTGTGAGGTCACTCTGTACATTTTCAGGATGTTATTGCAGTAGCTTCATTTATGACAAGGAGCATCTAAAGCTAATGCAGTTAATAGTGGTTCCAAACAACACATGCATTCAGTCTGAGGAGCAGTTATGAATTTTCTCATTCTCTTTATTTTCAGGTTACCTTGGCTACTCCAGTGGGTTTTCTCTCAGCTGCATGGTGTTCTTTCTCACTGCAGTAAGTTGGTCCAACACACACAGTGGCACATCATCACAGTCACTGCGCACACAGAGCCTCTTTTGCTCTGGCATGCCTTCCTGGCGTACACTTTATGTTGCTAACTTTCCCATCCTTGTCTCTATTTTTGGTGGAATGTGTCAGTGTTTGATAAGGCTAATATAAGAGCTACTACAGACATCAGAGGTTCAAAGTTAAATCTGTCTACTTAGAGGCTGAGTGGCCCTAATCTAGATTGAAATGGTTTTTCTAAGTAGTTGTTGATAACTGGAGGATGTTTTTTTAATGACTGACATATCACCTTATCCTTATTTTTCATGATATTCCTGTTTGTTCTTCCACATGTTGCCACATTTGCAGGTTATCTTCAAGAAGTTTCAGATTCCCTGCCCCTTTGAGGAGTTCTCAGTGAATGGTACCGCTTCCCACCTCAGCTTGAACGATTCAGTCCATATCCATGAGTACAACAACGGTGTGGTTCACGAGGATGATGACTCCCACTGCACCCCACGCATGTTCACCATCAACCCACAGGTAGGCGGCTAAGATGAAGATCCGTTTGTATCTGTGGATCTGTATCGCTTTCGAATATTGAAAGCCAGAGATGCTGAGATGCTGTAAATGTATTTGCTAGTTTCCCCACATGTATGCGGGGAAGCTCAACTGCACTGCTAATAATAGACAGTCATGTGTTTATGTGTCTCTTAACAGACAGCATACACAATCCCGATTTTGGCTTTCGCTTTTGTTTGCCACCCTGAGGTCCTGCCCATCTACACTGAGCTACACAAGTGAGTCGCCCATCTGTAACCTGCAATGTTTGATAACATCTCAGTGCAAAATGTGGCATTAATGTCCACTCTTTGATTTTAGCCCATCAAAGAAGAAGATGCAGAAGGTGTCCAACATTTCCATCTTAATCATGTACACCATGTACTTTCTGGCGGCTCTCTTTGGCTACCTGACTTTTTATGGTGAGGGCAATTTTCCCTGACATTTCTTTTACGATTGGTGTTTCAGTACCAGCGGACGAATACAAATGGCTGTGTTCATATCAAGTGGACAGAACAGTGATAGGTATTTGTTATTATTAAGTAGGACAAAAGGAATCTAATTTGGGCTCAAACATATTTGACTAGGGAGATTCGTTTTTTTTAGAGGGGCAACTCAGATACGGTGTTAAAATGTTCAATATACTTTACAAATCTTGCAAAAAATAAAAATAAAAATCATTTTCCTTGCAAAGGAATAGCTTTTCCTTGTTGTTAATTGTTAGTTATTGTGTATTAGCTATTAAGTGCCATCATCCAGACGATCTAATGTGGTTTCTATAAAAGCGTAGTAACCTTTTTCATGGAAAAATTGAGTCTCTGTAGACAGTTTTTTTTGTTTTGTTTTGTTTTGTTTTGTTTAATGATCCCATCCTTTACAGAATTTGCCCCTACTGTGTTACATGGAACCCAAGCGCCCTCTTGTGGAGATTGTTTGTCATGGTATGCTGTCCACATTTGCTGAGTAATGAGCTCATGCACAGCTAAACTAGTTTCTGTTGATATTTTTGTAGGCAATGTGGAGCCTGAACTACTGCACACATACAGCCGGATTGATCCTTACGACACTTTGATCCTGTGTGTGCGAGTGGCTGTCCTTACTGCTGTAACACTGACAGTCCCCATTGTGCTGTTCCCAGTAAGTGATGCCTTTTATTTCAGTCTTCAATTAATAATTAAATTAATATTGTAACATTATAGTGTTTCTGATGTGATTTTTTTTTTTTTTTTGCCCACAGGTGCGTAGAGCCATCCAGCAGATGATATTTCCCACCAAATCTTTCAGCTGGTTACGTCATATTGCCATCGCTCTCATTCTTCTCACCTTTATTAATATGTTGGTGATATTTGCTCCTAACATTCTGGGAATCTTCGGCATTATTGGTGTGTATAATACTGAACGTAAAGTTGAAATAATATCAAAACAGTAATGTTTTTCTTATGCTATGGAGTCTGAGACTCAAGAAGAGGGGGTATAATGCCTAAATCTCCAAGAGGCAGTAAGGGAACTGATAGGTTGGATTTATGGGTAACTTCAGTTGCCATTTGTATACACACACAAACAAATATTAAATGTTAAAAACGTGACCAGTGTCATGGACACACTGACAGCTTAAGTCAATATTTTTGTTCCACTTTGTTTTCAGACTGAGGTCATGTTTCATAGGTTACAGGTAAAAGTATAAAACATTAACTTTAGAGACTACCGGGTACTTCCTCAAAGCAAGGGTTTACATACAGAGTTTACCTGTTTTTGAATCTATGCACAGAAGCAGAAAAAATAGAGGATATAATAAAAAGAGCTGTTTTCAGATTTTGCTTTTTTGTGTGCTAGTGTGTAAAACAGAGGGGATTAGGAGGATGGGATTAGGATCAGGCCCATGTATATGTTGTATAAATAATCAAAAAGTCTGAATAAAAGTATAAATTACAAATCAAGTTTACAGAAGGGCAGCAATGACACGGTGGTTAGCACTGTGGCCTCACAGCAAGAAGGCCCGGAGTTTGACTCCACTGTCTGCCCGGGACCTTTCTGTGTGGAGTTTACATGTTCTGCCTGTGTTTGTGTGGGTTATCTCCGGGCACTCCGGCTTCCACTCACAGTCCAAAGATATGCACTTAGTGGGGTTAGATTAATTGGTGATTCTAAATTGGTTGTCTATCTCTCTGTGTTAGCCCCGTGTCAGATTAGTGACCTGTACCCCTGGAAGAGAACGAATGGATCGAGAATTTAGAAAACAGAAAACAAACATCAACAAATAATAATGAGTCCCGTGTATTTTTTTCTTATCAAAGTTTTATTACAGCATTGCATGCTTTTTTATTTTTCAGGCGCCACATCAGCTCCTTGCCTTATTTTCATCTTCCCTGCTGTCTTCTACATCCGCATTGTTCCCAAGGAAGATGAACCCATGAACTCTCTTCCTAAGATAATGGTGAGGCAATGAAAATATTTGCCATGCATGTTATATCATTTTTCAACTTCTTGACAGTTAAGTCCAATATGTTTTCCCATCATTCTTAGGCTGCCTGCTTTGCCGCTTTGGGTTTCTCCTTCATGGTAATGAGTCTGAGCTTCATTATTATCGACTGGACAACAGGGGAAGGCCTTGCTGTTGGAGGACACTAAGTGCTGCTTCATTGTGTGTAGTCTTAGGGAAGGGGTACATACTGTAAAACGGTCAATGGTTAGAAAATACTGTCAAGTAAGCAGGAACACACTACAGGGCTGCTAAGAACAGCTTCCGGGTTTCTAAATGTGTAAAACACCCAGTATAGTATGTGGGTAGAAAGGAATCACTCTTGGAAATCAATGTAACTTTTGGACTGTAATTTAACATGTATCTGTACAAAATCCATTTATTTCAATATTTTATTATTTAAGTTAACAGAGTGTAAAAATTATTTGAATAATTACGAATGAACAGGGTTGTTGTTTTGTTTTGTTGTTACCCTGTGTTAGTGCGATAACATCCAAGGATGCAGGGATGATAGTGAAATTGTCTTTCCCTGTTGTTTTCCCTTTACTCACACACACAAACAGCTGCAGCTGGCACTGTACAGAGAAAGACAGTATGATTGACAGTATGAAAGGAAACAAATTAAGATAAAGTATAAACAAGAGACAGTAAAATAACATACGTTTTATGTATTATTAGTTATTTTCCATTAAATGCACAGAAGAAAACAGATTATTTCAACCTGCACCAGCAGTGATCTGAACTGTTCATTCTCATCATTATTATGGAATATTATATAATGAGGTATTTTAAAGCCTTAGAGCATGGCCGACATTTAATTATGTGTCTGCAAGCTTTTGCTTCATATGCATAAATCAACAAATTTTATTCAAAAACCTGGGTGCCTTTTAGCATTTAACAAAAAGCACACAAAGATACGATGAAAGCAAGAGTTTATATTTATTTAGCTAACTACCAGAAACATGTTTTTAATTTCAAATGAAATATATTTAATTCTACTTTATACAATGAAACCAATGATCATGATACAGAGATAATTCACACAAATAATATTTCACTTGTTTGTTAAAATGTAAAGTGTTTGATAAAGAAATGCCTTTTTAATGCTTTTTTAGTGCATATAAGCCAACTGTGACCCTTTATATAAAGAGTTCAAGTTTACTTTAACACTTTGTAGAAGTTTATTTACCTTATTTTATTCCTTCTTTGAGGGTTTCAGAAATAATTTCTTTACTCTACCACATCACTACAATTTACAAGTTGGATGATGACTGTGTTTAAAAAAAAATAAATCTAAACAAGTGCCACGCTTTTCATGGATAAAAAAGAACACCTACAGGAACGTTTAAAGCCCAGTAATGAGCATGTTATGTCCAGTTTCCAGTCTTTTTGCTCAGCTAAGATAACAGCTAGGTAGCTCTACTTTTATATTTATCGTAAGACGTAAAACTGGTGATGATCTCATTTAATTTTAAGCAGCATCAAAGAGAATGTTCATCTTCCCAAACTGTCCCAACTATTCACTCACTTTTAATCACCCGTGGTTAAAATTTAAAAGATGTATTTGCCCAGATTCCAAATACATAAATAAAGACCATGTAAATAGTTTGGTTGTACCCAGGTTTTAATAGGAATTTTATAAACAAATGTATAGACAC